CCTTATATGATGCTAGAAGGTTCTATATTTTGATCTGGATGGTGGTTGTGAAATTGTACATATATGTAAAACACTGCAGTGTGTGTAAAGTTTAGCTCAATTTAAAAATGAAAAACATGGATTAGGATTTTATTTTAAAGATATTATGCCATTAAATTGGTTTGAGGTGAAGAAAACAGTGGAGACATCAAAATTACAACTAAACCATAGAACCACCATCTTTCAGAACTGCCTAAAATCTGGCTGAACGGAAGTCCTATAACAAGAGAATTAAAGAAGAAGCCACACTGAGACTGGTATGAGGGGTTGAGGTGCAGAACGGTCCGGTCCAATACCCACCTGTGGTGTTTTTTAATTGGGAGGGATATCTTGGCTACAGAGGTCCCCCGTGAGGAGTGTTCCAGTGCTGGGAAGAGAAGTCCTCATAACTTCGGGATGTAAAAACCAGCGGAAATTGTAAACATGGAGGCTGCTGGAGTCCCCGGTGTTCCTCTTATAGCGGACGCATGGACTTAATTTGACTCACTCCCTCTGAGCTCCAGCGCTGGGGTAGCAGCACATACTGGAGGGAACTGAATTGTCTGGCATCAGGGCAGGAACTGGGGGAGGGAGGGGCAGCTTTCTCCCAGACAAAAGTGCTAGCAGAGGTCATTGTTCCTCTGCCGAGACCTCCCTGAGCTGACTGACAGGTGCCATATCTGAGTTTCCATCAACTTGGCTTACACTGTTTGTCTGGCCCTAGTGACTCCCTTAGACTTTGCCCCTCCCAATTTGCAGTCCCACTCAAGCTATTTGCAGTGGTCTTTCTATATGAATAGCCTGTCCTCATTCAGGCTTTAGATTTTCCTAAAACCTCTTCAACAAGCAGCAGCTGGTCTCAGCATGCCTCATATCTCTCAATAATAGGCCCCAGGCCCAACATAAGTAGCAGCCATCTGCAGGTCGCTCTGTACCTCGTGCCAGGTGGCCCCAGGCAGGGCATAGGCCAGTGATGGCGAACCTTTTGAGCTCGGCGTGTCAGCATTTTGAAAAACCCTAACTTAACTCTGGTGCCATGTCACATATAGAAATTTTTTGATCTTTGCAACCATAGTAAAACAAAGATTTGTATTTTTGATATTTATTTTATATATTTAAATGCCATTTAACAAAGAAAAATCAACCAAAAAAATGAGTTCGCGTGTCACCTCTGACACGTGTGTCATAAGTTCGCCATCACTGGCATAGGCAGTAACTGACTTTGTACCTCTTGGGAGACCCAAGAGCCAGTGCACAAGACTTTGGAAGAACTGGAAGATAATGAAAATGAATTTAATGAAGAAGACCAACGAGCTATTGAAATGTACAGGCAGCAGAGACTGGCTGAGTGGGAAGCAACTAAAGCGAAGAACAAATTTGGAGAAGTTTTGGAAATCTCAGGAAAGGATTATGTTCAGAAAGTTACCAAAGCTGGAGAAGGCCTGTGGGTGATCTTGCACCTTTACAAACAAGGGGTTGATTCGCCTCTGTGCCCTGATAAGTCAGCACTTCAGTGAACTTAGCAAGAACTTTCCTGAGGTCAAATTTATCAAAGCCATTTCCACAACCTGCATACCCAATTATCCTGAAAGGAGTCTGCCCACAATATTTGCTTACCTTGAAGGTGAGCAAGGCTCAATTTATTGGACCTCTGGTGTTTGGTGGCATGAACCTGACAATAGATGAGTTGGAGCGGAAATTATCTGAGTCTGGAATAACCAAGACAGACCTGGAGGAAAACCTTAAAAAACCAATTGAAGACTCCTTGCTGTGCTTGGTGCGGGGGCTCGGTCCCCTTGAAGAAGGGCGGCAATTTACAGGATGCGTAAGGCCAAGGCCGCCAAAATGTGCTGAACCTAATGTGACAAATTGTCTGGATTTTTAAAAAAAGAAAAAGTAGGACTAAATCCTTTGGTTTTTAGCCTTTTATAGTTATGTTTTATGTCTCATAGATCTCAGAAACAATCATTGCTGCAAAACCTATTAAATTTCTTGGAACTCTCTTTTTTAAAATGTTTTTATTGATTTCAGAGAGGAAGGAAGAGGGAATCATTGATCGGCTGCTTCCTGCACATGCCCTAGTGGGGATCAAGCCTGCAACCCTGGCATGAGCCTTGACCAGAAATGGAACTGTGATCTCCTGGTTCAACCACTGAGCCATACTGGCAGGGGCTAGACCTCTCTTTTTTCCTTTTATTTTTTTAAAATATATTTTTTATTGATTTCAGAGAGGAAGAGAGAGGGAGAGAGAGATAGAAACATCAATGATGAGAGAGAATCATTGATCGGCTGCCTCCTGCACGCCCACTACTGGGGATCGAGCCCATAACCCTGGGCATGTGCCCTTGACTGGAATCGAACCCGGGACCCTCTGGTCCACAGGCCCACGCTCTATCCACTGAGCCAAACCAGCCAGGGCTCTTTTTTCCTTTTATTTTATTTTTTTAGAAGAAACTTTGTGTCCTCACTGACCACTCTTTTTTTAAAAAAATGTATATATTTTATTGATTTTTTACAGAGAGGGATAGAGAGTTAGAAACATCGATGAGAGAGAAACATCAATCAGCTGCCTCCTGCACACCCCCTACTGGGGATGTGTCCGCAACCAAAGCACATACCCTTGACTGGAATCGAACCTGGGACCCTTCAGTCCTCAGGCTGACACTCCATCCACTGAGCCAAACCGGTTAGGGCCCTTTTATTTATTTATTTTTTAAATTTTTTTTTAACTTATTGTTTTTCTCTTTGCTCTTCTTTGGAACTCTCTTTTAAATTTAAAACATTTCCTTTTTTAAAAAAACAGCTATTGGTATGGCAAAAACAAAAATTAAAAGAATGAAGTTAGGAATATTACATTGGAGGAACTGAGGGATTTTCATAGGAGTATTTTGATAGCATAAAGTATCAAGCAGGCTGCTTTGTAGAACTAGATGATTCTATATTTTATTTGGAAATGCACAGGACTTAGAAGGGCCAAGATAATCTTGAATAAATCTGGAGGACTTACTCTGATTTCATGACTAAGTAATTAAGCAAGTATATTAAGACAGAATTGACTTGGTGTAAGGGCAGGCAAGTTGATCAATGGAACAGAATAGAGGATTGAGACCTAGATAACTTCATGTCTATAAAAAAAAGGAAAAAACTCACACCATATACAAAAATTAATTTGAGCCTTAGCTGGTTTGGCTCAGTGGATGGAGTGATGGCCCATGGACTGAAGGATCCCGGTTGGATTCCAGTCAAGGGCAAGTACTTTGGTTGCAAGCAATCCCGGGCCCTGGTTGGGGATGTGTGTGGGAGGCAAACCGATTGATGTCTCTCTCACATCGATGTTTCTGTCTATCCCTTCCTCCCACTCTCTCTAAGAAAAAAAAAAACACTCAATGGAAAAAATATCCTCGGGGAGGATTAACAAAAAAAAATTTAATTTGAGATGGATCATAGACTTAAGGGTGAACGCTAAAACTATAAGCTTCTAGAAGACAGATAGGAGGAAAATCTTCATGGTCTTGGGGTGGGCAAAGCTTAAAAACATGACACAAAAACACGAACCATAAAATAAAAATTTCCACAAGTTGAACGTCATCAAAATAAAAAATTTCCACTCATCTAAAGATATTAAGGTGAAAAGGAAAGCCACGACTAGGAGAAGATATTCTGAATATACATACCTGGCAAACAACTCCCATCCAGATATAAAGAACTCCTACACATCAAGTAACTCAATTTATAAAATGGACTAACTCTCAGAGGAGTGTCTGTGAACAGGCATTTCACAGACGAAGATATTCAAATGGTCAATCAGCACATGAAAAGGTGCTCAACATCACTACACACCCAAGGCATGCAAATATCATCACACGGAGGTATCACCGCATACCCACCAGAAAGGCTAACGTCAAAGGTCTGACAAGACCAAGTGTTGTAAGGGTGTGAAGCGACTGCCACCCTCGTACACGGCTGGTGGAATATAAAGTGGTACAGCTACTTTGGCAAAAACTGAAAGTACAGATTATCTAAAAAATTTTTAGAGAATCCCATATAAAACCCAACGGATAGAACTAAAGCTATACTCAGAAAATATTTCTAGCCATTAATGTTTTTATTACCCAAAACACTGAAAATAAATTATATATTTAATTCAGTAAACTATTAAACTAATGATAATAAACAAAAACAGAATAAGTTGAAATTAAAGTAGAAAACAAAAAGGTAGGAGAATGAATTAGAGAAGATGTTATTTCTTTGAAGATATGAATAAAATAGAGCTACTAATAGGTTTAGAACAGCGGTTCTCAACCTGTGGGTTGCGACCCCTTTGGGATTCGAAGGACCCTTTCACAGGGGTCGCCTAAGACCATCGGAAAACACATATATAATTACATATTGTTTTTGTGATTAATCACTATGCTTTAATTATGTTCAATTTGTAACAACGAAATTGGGGGTCACCACTACATGAGGAACTGTATTAAAGGGTCGCGGCATTAGGAAGGTTGAGAACCACTGGTTTAGAAAATATGTAGGTTTCATCCGTGGTTCTTGTGTTTTTTTTTGCTTTAAAGTTTGGTGCTGTACATGGTCGCACTCATAGGTGGAATCTAAGTAACAAAATAAACTAATGAATGGAGTGGATCCAGATTCAAGCATGGAACAACAGAGTGCGGAATCTCAGAGGGAAGGCGGGGTGGGTGGGTGGGTGGGAGGTAATCAACCAAAGACCTTGAATGCATATATGCGTGGCCCATGGACACAGACAATAGGGTGCTGGAGGCCTGGGGCGGGCGGGGCGGGCTGGAGGGGGTCAATGGGGGAAAAAAGGGGGACATATGTAATACTTTCAACAATAAAGAATTACTTAAAAAGTAAAGTTTGGTGCTGTGTTCAACAAAACATAATCACGTCATTTAGTGAGGGTTTCATTCATTTATTACTTTTTTTTAAAAGCCTGTTGATCATCGATATCAATAAGGATATCGATGGTCAACAGGTGTGGTTTTTTTTAAGTAATAAATTATAAAACACACACACCGTTTTAAAAAGTTGGAAAGACGAAGTTTAAGAACTATGGTTTCGGCTGCTCTGTGTGAGCAGGTAGCGGGTGCCCGGCCTCCAGTTCATTTCAGGCGCTCGGGGCTCCTGCAAGGGCAGTGCTGTCCTGTCTTGGGGATGACGTTGCCGGCTGCCCGCTGGGATGTGCCCTGAGTTCAGGGCTGACCCAAGACCACCAGATCCGGCAGGTGAGCAGCCCCGAGGCTGCAGGGGGGACCGGGCCCTCCGCAGGTGCACAGGCTCTGGGGTATCGGGAGCCTGGGCCCGAGGCGCGGGCCGGTTTAGGGCCTGCAGAACGCACTGTCGGGTGCAGGGCCCGAGGGCCAGCCGGCCGAGCTGACTCTCCCTTTTGGGGCGCAGGGGGGCGGCCAGGTGC